GCCCTAAGTAGGCTTGACAAACTATTAAAGAACTATCCTTTTGTTGGTTGCAGGAGGTTTGAAATGGACCGGGAACCTAAGAGTGCCAGATACTGTGCTGAGTGTAATAGACTGCATCCTGCTGAGGAAGGGGACTTTTGGGCAGAGTCAAGCATGTTGGGCCTCAAGATCACCTACTTTGCACTGATGGATGGAAAGGTGTATGACATCACAGGTACTCTCTGTCCTCTAGAAATACAGGCTCATACTTCCTGATCTTTTATGTGCTCTAAACTGCAATGTTTTGGCTAATTATTTCTCATGTTTACAGAGTGGGCTGGATGCCAGCGTGTAGGTATCTCCCCAGATACCCACAGAGTCCCCTATCACATCTCATTTGGTTCTCGGATTCCAGGCACCAGAGGGCGGCAGAGGTAGGTGGTATTTCTGTAAATAATCTACCCACTATTTCAGTTTTGAATACAGTTTCAGATGACCTGCTTTTTAGGACACTCAGGGGCCTTATTTTCTAGGAAGTTTGGGAACTGGTAAGTATATCTAACTTTAGGTAACCATATGACTCTAACATCTCTTGCCTTATTTCTGTTTTATCTCAGAGCCACCCCAGATGCCCCTCCTGCTGATCTTCAGGATTTCTTAAGTCGGATCTTTCAAGTACCCCCAGGGCAGATGCCCAATGGGAACTTCTTTGCAGCTCCTCAGCCTGCCCCTGGTGCCACTGCAGCTTCTAAGCCCAACAGCACAGTACCCAAGGGAGAAGCCAAACCGAAGCGGCGGAAGAAAGTGAGGAGGCCCTTCCAACGTTGACGCCCCTTCTCTTTCCTCAAAACAATGTCAGGGAGTCAAAAGGGCTGTGTACAGCACAGGATGGAGTTTGATTTATCCCTCCTCCCCCAACACCTAGGAAGTGAATCTTTTGTTTTTTTTTTTTTTTGAGAGACGGAGTCTCGCTCTATTGCCCAGCTGGAGTGCAGTGGTGTAATCTCGGCTTACTGCAACCTCTGTCTCCTGGGTTCAAGCAATTCTCCCCTCTCAGCCTCCTGAGTAGCTGGGATTACAGGCACACACCACCACACCTGGCCCAACTAATTCTTTTTTGTATTTTTAGTAGAGACGGGGTTTCACCATGTTGCCCAGGCTGGTCTCAAACTCCTGAGCTCAGGTGATCCACCTGTCTTGGCCTTCCAAAGTGCTGGATTACAGGCATGAGCCACCGCGCCCGGCCTGAATCTTGTCTTTTGACAATACCAAAGAAATAGGGGGTAGCTAGAGTAAAGAACCTAGGGCCTGGACCTGGGCTGGACAGTATATCCCTTTAGGTGTGGGAACTGGGTATTTCCCTGGGGTCTGTATGCCTTTGTCTTGTCATTTGCTTTTAAGGCAGATGACACTTTTTCCCACCTTTTTAAAGCCACAAGTCTGTCTTCTTTCTTGAACCATTTCAGGTGGAGCCCTCTCCTTTACCCCGATATAATATTTAAAAGACAGAACAAGAAAGCATGTAGCCCTAATGATAGGAGATTACCGCATAGAGTTCAGAGAGTGGAAACTGAATTTTCCCTCGACTTTCACTTTGTGGGTAAATCACCCAATTTTAGGCTCTTTTCTGCAAGGATGGCCAAAATTAATCATTTTTAAAAAGTAGATTCATGCCCACTGCCCTTGGGTGAGGGGGAAGGATGCAGGGGTTCCCAGAAGCCCCCATGTGAGTCAAGGGTTTGTATTTTTTTTTTTAAGTTTGTTCATATTTGTATGTACATACCTATTTAAAGCCAGGGGATTATCTTTCTATAAATGTATAACTGGTAACCTGTATCTTCCCTCTTTTTTGCCCATATAACTGGAGCCCTTTTTCTCATTTGAGAATCCCTTCCCAAGAAGTGTTAAGCTTAGAGTGAAGGGCACCTCCTACTGGACCAAAGGAGAGGGGACTAGAGAATTGTTTTAAGTTTTATACATTAGGTCAGTATTCCATCTTCCTACCCCCAGCCTTATGAGGACAGCTCTCTGCCCTTCCTGCTGATTAAACTGCAGCTATAGCTGGAAAAAATTATTATAAGAAAAATACACAGCAAAACAGAGCTGGAAGGTGGTAGGTGTAGAAGATATGGAAAGATGTAATCACTGAACAAGCTGCCCAAATGGCTTCCTGCTATGGAGGAGAGTGATTTGGCCTTTACCTCACCTGCCTTCCTGATTCAAAGAAACTTGCCGTTGGCAGGACTGGGCGCAGGAGCCCCATTTGCCAATCTCTTCTCTTCCTGGGAGTCTGGAAAAGGTTGTATAGTTCTCACGCTTTCAAGGTGTAGAAGACAGTATGGAGAATAAGAGAAGGATGTTTTATAGTCCTCTGTTTCACTGCCTTCCCTATGCCCATGGAGCTGTCCCAAAACCCATCCCTCAGTATTTGTTGATGCCAAAGACACGAACCCCATGGAACTGGGGCAACTTCGGCAGCAGTACACTGAGCAATGAGGCTGTGTTGATGAGGAAGTGAGCAGCATCATACTTGGTATAGAAGCTGGCCAGGAGATAGCTGGGGAGAGAAAAAAATAGGGTGAGTGAGGTTGGCCTTCCCTATCCATATTCTTTTTTTTTTTTTTTAAGAGAGACAGTTCTCACTATGTTTCCCAGGTTGCAGTGCAGTGGCTATTCACAGGTGTGATATGTGCAGTACAACCTCAAATTCCTGGGCTCAAACAATCCTTCTGCCATAGCCTCCCAGGTAGCTGGGACTCCAGGCATGCACCACAGTGCTCTGCTCTTTCTCTTCTATTTTAAATGACCAGTTTTACTGTATATTTACTGTTCTAGATTATCTAAAACTATTCCAGCTATATCAACAGCATTTACTTTGGGGTTCAGGAGATAGCACCTTTAACTGGAGACTATAAGTCAGTATCTGTTAATTGCTAATGACATGGCAAATGACAGCTGAAGCTATTTCAGTCTGTATGACTGTTAAGAGTCCTCTTTGCTTCCACTCCCTACAGTGTTTTTGAAGATTACTATCAGTTCTGCCTTGATTTACTTATTTTGGCAGTGTAAAATCATTTGGTTTTATTTGGCACTTATCTTTTCTAACTCCTTTCATTTCCTTACTACCAAGGAGGCAGCAAGGAATGCTTGATTACAGCATTGACTTCTACATTTTACTGCTCTCTGTAGACTTGGAACTAGTATACCTTAATATCTTCAAAGGGTTTTAGATGGGTAGTCTGTTTTTTAACAGCTTCCCTATGGGCCTTTCTACCTGGCTCTTGGAGCTCTTTCTAACCCAGCATATCCTCATTTCCCCCATAGACTCACAGCACAATAGGAGAGATGCTGAGGAACTTGCGGGAAGAGGTAAACTGGAGCCCATAGTCCATTTGCTCCCAGTGTGTCAGTAGCCGAGCCTTTCCTTGGTCAGGAGTCTCAAAGGGTGTCCCTTTCACCGTATGAAGGAAGACATACATAGCCTGGGAACAGGGAAGGTGGCAGTGTGAGGGGCGGAGAGTAGTTCTTCAGTCAAAGAATTATGTTAAGATCCCAAAAGGAACACATAAATCCCCAAACAATTGGTGATTTTATTTTGCTTTTGGTCGGGAAACCCTGGGGTGGGTACAAGGCCGCGGTTTAGTGCTCACCAGGTTATGGATGACGTTGGTCAGGGTCCAGACAACAGGAATGCTGAAGAAGGGGATGCTGAGTAGAACCACATGCAGCAGTCCTACCAAGATGATGTAGGCCAGCCAGATGCCTCGGCTATTCATCACTCGAGTGTTGGGGTTTACTTCGCTGTGCGCCACCCCCACATTCATCCTAGCCATAATGGGGGATCAGGCAGGAGTCCAACTCAGTTTTTTCTCAACCCCTCTTTGAGCTTTCTCCCAGTTGTCTCTCAGATAGCCCCAATTCCCTGAACTCTATTGGGAATGAAGAACTTACCCATCACGCAGAAAATAAAAACTGAAAACTTGGGGAAAACTTTAAAAGACAAGAAGAGTCCTCACTACATTTTAGAGACATAGTCATTTTTGCTCTGATCTTTACACTTCAACTGTAACATGAAGGTGTACGTAGACTTGGGGCACTCCCTTCAGTGAGCGAGGGAAATAGGAGTATCTGACTTTCCTGAAGAAGTTAATAACCATAAAGAGGTCACGCACACCCAGTATTCCAGGAGAAAGTCATGGAATCATCAAAGAACCACTAAAAAGGGATGACAGAGTAAAGCTCACTCTGGTCCCCACTTTGTTCTCTGGGGCTTGTCCACCCTCTCACACCTCCGTGGCATGTAAGCAGTCAGCATCTCCATTACTTCTCTCAAGCGTGGGGCACGACAACAACTTGCCCACGGCTTCTGGACTGGGTTCGGAAGGGACCTGAGCTCAACGCCTGGAGAGATGGAGCCTTGGCTCTGACTCCAGGGGCGGCAGTGATTATCTGAACTTGGTTCTTTAAAATTGTGGTAGCTCTCAAGCTGATGATGTCTGGTTAGGAAGCGGCTGTTGCCCGCCCCAGCCCCACCGCCAGTTCCTTAAGCCCGCCCCATGCCCCTCCCAGCTTCCTCCTCACGTTCGTCGGTATTTTCAGGGCTCCCTTCAGCGCTCCCCTCTCAATATTTAGGTCACCGCTTCCTCGGCGCCCCTTTCCTCTCCCACCATTTTTCCTCAGCAACCCTTACGGTCTTTGCAGCCCCTACCTGCCAGCTCAGATCCCCGTCCCGGCTATGGGCGCAGCACCGGTTACCACACCTGAAGTCTCCAGGAAGTAACGCCTCCCCGTCTGCCCCTTTCCTATTGGAGGAACACAATCAGCGCTGCCACCACCCATTGGTTGGTGATCTGTAATGCAGATGCACAGTTGGTTGCCATTTCTGTCGTTCGCAAGATGCAGTGCCCGCCCCTTTCCCTGTTCCACCTTTTGAAAGAGGTGGGGAAAGCTGCCTAGAGAAGTGAGAACGACATCAGCCATTGACCAATGGGAAGAGTTGATGGTATGGCGTGGGAGCAAGAGTGACAACGATTGGTCGGTCTTGCATCTCTACGCCTAAGGCGGGAGCTCCTGGAGGCGGAGGCAGCGGGTGGGGGCCTAGTGGAGTGAGGGGTAACAAGATGGCGACCGAGACGGTGGAGCTCCATAAGCTGAAGGTACAGTGAATCGGGGAAGGGCTGAGTTGGACTTTTCTAGGAACTGAATTCTACAGGGTGGCTTGCGCCTTCTCCTACGTGTTGTCTTTGCAGCCTTTTCCACTTCGTTTTTCGGCTCCCACTGTAGCTCTTTTGTGCCACCCTTCCACACTACGCCTTCCCTAATTTCCCATTTCTCCTCACGGTTTTACTGCTATATTTATTTGTTATTTCTGCTCCCTTCATCGTTGTATCGTCCGTTATCCTTCCCCATCGGGTTGTGTAAGTGCCTTATACCTGTTATACTCCTCGTTGCTTTTCAGGGCTGCATTACGTCAGTTGGTCCCTCCTTTTTGCCCCATGTCGGACCCAGGATCCGTTTTTCTTCCCTGGGATGATGTTTCCAGTCTGTCGTCCGAAGCTGAGATTCCCCTGTTAGCAAATGGTGGCATTTTTGTGTATTTCTCTCTAAATAGGTCCCAGACACTCAGAAAATACTTCCACTCCCCTTTTCTAGGTGGGATTATGCCCCCAGGCCGAATTTTGAAACCAGGGAGAGGCCTCTCAGAAAAGATCGGTCTCGCCTTAGAAGGCTGGGATTGAGGAGATCTTGAGAATAGTAAAAGTACAGACACCTCTGATTTAAAAGTTTTCGAGTTCTCTCACGCGGCTCTCGGCCCGCCGGCCTTCCTCACACACCATCTCCTACCACCAGAGAGAACTCATACCTGCAATATTTGGGAAAAACAGTTCCAAGGTTAAGATTATCTCTTTTCCATTTCATATCTCGGATGGGCCCTGCATCTCCTGGTGTTACCATTGGCTGACACTGAATCACAGAAGCTGTTTTAAATTGTCTTATGAGAATCTTGGTAGTTTTCTCACACCTAGATATATAAAAACGTTAAAAATATATTAAAAAGAAGAAAACTTTAAAAAGTATTTTCTTTTAGGGTAAATTAAGATAATCTTGATTGTGGTTTCACAAGTAGTTTTCTCATTACATGTTTTGGACAAACCAGGCTGATGTAGCTGAAACTGAAAAGTGATCCTTTAAAGCTTGAAGAGTTTTTTGTTTTGTTTTGTTTTGTTTTTTGTTGTTGTTGTTGTTTAAGAAAGCTTAAGGGTAGTAAGGGTAGGGAGAGGACCCTTCTTTAGTCACTTATTAGTTGACCCCAATTAGTCTTTCTGTGAAAGCTGGTGTTTTTCTTGCTCTTGGATTCTAAACTCTATTAGTGGATTTTTGTGTTATTCTGGAGTTATTGTTAACTTGATGGTACTGAAATGCATAGATTACATCAGTGGTCTCCTGATACTGTGATGAGTAAAAAAAAAAAAAAATTGAGCAATCATCTCCACTTTGTGTATATATACTGTACTTATAGAAATTGTATACTTCTGTACTGTTATAAAACATACACAGAAAAGGAATTTTTGAATGAGATAAAAAGGAACTGTGAATAGAAGAGCTAATATTTTCTTCCTATTTGTCCTATTTTTGAAATCCCTGGAGTAAGTCACCAGCTGCCTGATGACTGACTTACACTTATAGATTGTGTTGGTTTATGGAGTTCCTCCTTCCATCAAATCTGTATTTGTCAGGTCTATATTAAATTTGTATTTGATTGGATAAGTAACTTTTACATAAAGTTCTCTGGCCTGATTTTAGTGTCACAGTCTAAAGAGAACATTAGGCACTCCTGACAGCCTAAAAAGAACTCGCTCTTTAATCACATTTGCTTGTCTTTGCTTTTTCTCTAGAGCACTTCTTAACCTTTTGGAGGTCACAGATATCTTTGAAACTCTGATGAAAGGTATGGACCCTCTCCCCAGAAAAAGGCATGTACACATATTTTGCATGCAGTTTGAGGGGCTTCATAAAACTACCTTGTAGCCCTGAGGAGTCCATGGACCTCTGGTTAAGAACTCATGCCTTTGGCTGGGCGTGGTGGCTCACACCTGTAATCCTAGCACTTTGGGAGGCCGAGGTGGGCGGATTGCTTGAGGCCAGGAGTTCGAGACCAGCCTGGGCAACATGGCGAAACCCTGCCTCTACCAAAAATGCGAAAATTAGCCAGGTGTGATGGCAAGTGCCTATAGTCCCAGCTACTGAGGAGGCTGAGGCACAAGACTCGCTTGAGCCCGGGATGGAGGTTGCAGTGAGCCGAGATGGTGCACTGCACTCCAGCCTGGGAGACAGTGAGACTCCGTCTCAAAAAGAAAAAAATAACTCATGCCTTTGATTCTGATTTTTAGGGCAGTTAGTTCCACTGGCGATCTTGATGCAATGATCCTGACTTCTGGTTTGACTTGGGGTTTTATTGCCTTTGAAAAAAATCTTGGCTGGGCCCAGTGACCCACACCTCTAATCCCAACTCTTTGGGAGGTGGAGGCCAGGAGTTTGAGACCAGCTTAGGCAACACAGTGACACCCTGTCTCTACAAAAAATTAAAAAATTAGCTGGGCATGGTGGCCCACACCTGTAGTCCCAGCTCCTCAAGAGGCTGAGGTAGGAGGATTGCTTGAGCCTGGAAGGCCAAGGCTGCGGTGAGCTGTGTGATAATTGCTCCACTGCACTTCAGCCTGGGTGACAAAGGGAGACCTTGTCTCACAAAAAAAAAAAAAAAAAGAAAAAAATATCTCCATTGTCATAAAGAGATTTTGGGCTTTGGTATGGAACTTCAGGGGAAGGGAATACCTTTGAAGCAGGAAGGAAGCATAGTATGTATCTGAGTTGATATGTAATGTCATATCAACAGCAAATTTCTGAGGATTTTGTAGAAATGCATTTTTTTTTTTTTTTTTTTTTTTTTTTTTTTAAATTGAGATGGAGTCTTGCTCTGTCACCCAGGCTGGAGTGCAGTGGCAAGATCTCGGCTCACTGCAACCTCCGCCTCCCAGGTTCAAGCGACTCTCATTCCTCAGCTTCCAGAGTAGCTGGGATTACAGGCACGTGCCACCGCGCCTGGCTAATTTTTGTATTTTTAGTAGAGACGTGGTTTCGCCATGTTGTTGGCCCAGCTGGACTTGAACTACTGACCTCAGGTGATCCTCTTGCCTTGGCCTCCCAAAGTGCTGGGATTATAGGCATGAGCCACCGCACTTAGCCCATTCTAACACATTTGGAAAGAGATTGAACTGTGGATGAAAATGGCTTGAACTGTAACAATATCAGATATCCAGTCAAACATCAGAAAAGGAACTATTGCAGAGGAGAGGAGAAAGCGGTAGTGGTGTCAGAGTGTTGAGAATTGTGAGACATTTGTATTGGAAAGTGAAGTGAGGAAATACATTGGCGGTTGAAGATAGTTTGGAAAGGAAAATAGGTAAACTATAAAGGTAAATCAAAAGTGATGTTGAAAAGGGCTTTCTAAGTTGTATAAGGAATTCTGGCCTTTGTCATGTAATAAGTAGGGCTGGGAGCCTTTGGAAGTTTGAAAGGAAGAGCTTGATGTGATCAGCTTGTATTCTGTTGGCAGATGGGATTTGTAGGGGGAGTGATTTCACCACTTAGATGTTTATTTTCAGAGTCATTCCTCTGCTTAAAACCTTCAAATTTTGTCCCTGCCGGTCTCTGCGGTATAGTTACTAACACTTCAACTACTGCAGCCTTATTTTATTTCATTTCTTCAGAATGATTGTCTTCATCAATTGCTAACACTTAGCATTTATTATGTGGCAAAGCACTGTTTGAAGCCATTTGCATGCACTGATTTAATTCTCATAATAACCCTATAAGGTAAATACTTATATTATCCTCATTTGAAAATCAGAAAAACTGTAGCTCAGAGAGAGTAACTGAGTAACTTGCTTTGGTTGCAAAGCTAATATGTGGTATATTAAATCCAAGCAGGCTGGGCGTGGTGGCTCACGCCTGTAATCCCAGTACTTTGGGAGGATGAGGCGGGTGGATCACCTGAGGTCGGGAGTTCGAGACCAGCCTGACCAACATGGAGAAACCCCGTCTTTACTAAAAATACAAAATTAGCTGGGCGTGGTGGTGCATGCCTGTAATCCCAGCTACTGGGGAGGCTGAGGCAGGAGAATCCCTTGAACCTGGTAGTCGGAGGTTGTGGTGAGCCGAGATGGCGCCATTGCTCTCCAGCCTGGGCAACAAAACTGAAACTCCGTCTCAAGAAAAAAAAAAAAAAAAAAAAAAATCCAGGCAGCCTGTCTCCAGAATTCCTGTTCTTAATCATTGTACACTGCTTCTCCTTCTTACCTCAACCCAGAACCTTCACATATGCTGCAGTTGGAGTTTTCTTTTGGCTGTGGTACTTCTGCCAGCCTTCCTCCCTAACACCTTTATCTAATTAATTACTACACCCCTTTCAGGTGTTTCACTCAAATATTATTTACCCAAGGAAACTTTCTCTGTTCTATCCACACACATGGTCAGGCCACTTTCTATATAGTTTCATAGGACCCTGTATGTTGTTTAAAAATCAGCTGAACATGCTGGGCGCAGTGGCTCATGCCTGTAATCCCAGCACTTTGGGAGGCCGAGGTGGGCGGATCATGAGGTCAGGAGTTCAAGACCAGTCTGACCAATGTGGTGAAACCCCATCTCTACTAAAAATACCAAAATTAGCCAGGCCTGGTGGCGCGCACCTGAAACCCCAGCTACTCGGGAAACTGAGACAGGAGAATCGCTTGAACCCGGGAGGCAGAGGTTACAGGAGCTGAGATCGCGCCATTGCACTCCAAGTCTGAGCAACAGAGTGAGACTCTGTCTCAAAAAAAAAAAAAATCAACTAAACACTATCTGGTCATTGATTGGCTTGTTCCCTCCCTGCAAGATTGTAAGCTCCGAATGGGAAAGGACTCTCTGTTTTGCTCATGATTATTTGCCTGTATCCAAGATAATACTTGATACACAGTAGGCGCTCAATAATGATTTATCGAGTGAATAAGCATGTCAAGAGTTCAAAAGAATGGGAATGAATTTGAAAGACATTTAGGATGTGGTAGAATTTCAAGTATTTATAGATCAGTTAGATATGGGAAGAATGAAAGATGAC